ATTAAAAAAACTTCTTATTATTTTCATGTTATTTAATGCCTTTCGGATAGAGAAGCAATTTCTAATTTTTATTAAAATAACCAGGAACAAAGGAATACATTCATATTTAGATGCTAAGATCCCTAGAAACACTTTCGCACTGTCAGTACCGGATAACATTGCAGTCTGGTATTGCATTTAGCTAGATCCTATCAAAGCTGGCCAACAAATCATGATGGCAAATCTGATAGAAGTAATGGAACACTAGGTCAACTCTTTCCATATATAATTCAGCAGCTGGATAAACAAATCATTTATGGCTTTTAAATATTTTATTACTTTTCAAAAGCATTCAGTAAGATGCCTGCAACATTTTTTGCATAAAGTCATAAGATACTCATTTCATTGGCTCTTGTGGACTCTTTGGCAAGTGAATGAATTGCAACCATTCCAAAGACTTTGGACCTTATATATTTATCTTCTTGTCTGCACCTCCATGGTGGAGGCATCTGCTTGCCAACTACAGATTACAGATTAACAGAGTTGAAAGGAATCTTGTAGGTCATCTAGTCCAACCCCCCCACCCAAGCAGTATACCCTACACCATTTCTGACAAATGGCAGTCCAATCTCTTCTTGAAAGCCTCCAGTGACGAAGTTCCCATAACTTCCAAAGGCAAACTATTCCATTGGTTGATTGTTCTGTCAGAAAATTTCTCCTTATTTGAATCTCTCCTTGATCAGTTTCCATCCATTGTTCCTTGTCTGGCCTTCAGGTGCCTTGGACAATAGCTTGACCCCTTCCTCTTTGTGGCAGTGCCTCAAATATTGGAAGACTGCTACCAGGTCTCCCCAGTCCTTCTCTAGACTAGCCATGCCTAGCTCCTGTAACCATCCTGCACTCTTTCTAGAGTCTCAATATCTTCTTTATAGCGTGGTGACCAAAACTGAATGCAGTATTCTAAGTGTGGTCTTACTAAGGCTTTATAGAGTGGCATTAGTACCTCACTTGATCTTGATTGATTCCCTGTGTTAATGCAATTTAGGATTGCATTGGCTTTTGGGGATGCTGCTGCACACCACTGGTTCATATATAGATGGTTGTCCACTAAGACTCCAAGATCCCTCTCACAGTTTTCACACAGTCTATATGTCTACTTTTGTTTTCTTACCTAAGTGTAAGACTTTAGTTTTCTCTACACTGAATTTCATTAAATTTCAGAGAACCATCCTTTCTGTATCAGATTTGGTAGAATATTCTTTGGAGAATCCAGAGCAATGTTCCACTTACTGTAAGAAATGAACAGCAGCTAAATAGTCCAATCTAGGCCCAGCCTACAAATCCCATCAACTCTTTCCAATTTCATCTGCCCAGCAGCATTGTCAAAATGTCTGAAGAATGCCAAGTTGGCAAAGCCTCAAACTCAACGGAGAAGCCAACTGAACTACAATAACACTAGTTACACAGATGGTATTATTGCCTGGAAGTCTAACAATACAGACACTTTAATCTATAATTACCTACCATTGGTAAACTAAAAAACTGTATACATTAGAAGTAATTAGTTGATCCTTGTATCCAGTTCTTTTTTAAAAATACATTTTACATATTTATGTGTAAATCAAACTTATGTGTAAATACCTATGTGTAAATTTAAGCTTAAAGCTTAATATACTGATACATAAGATATTTATACATAAATCTACATTAAATATGTTTTAAGGTTATTTACACATCATCATCGTCATCAAAAAATGATGATGATGATGTTTAAATCAACTTAAAACATGTTTATGCTTTACAGCCCTCTCTAAGCAGTTTACAGAGTCAGCATATTGCCCCAAACAATCTGGGTCCTCATTTTACCAGCCTCAGAAGGAAGACTGAGTCAATCTTGATCCATTTACAATCAAACCACTGCATTCTAACCACTGTGTAACCAGGGCTCTAGATAGATCTCTAGATAGGTAGGTGATAGATGATAGATGATAGTTAATAGATAGATGATAGATAGATGATAGATAGATTGATAGGTGGATGGAGGGAGGGATGGAGGGAGGAAGAGAGGGGGAGAGAGAGAGGGAGAGAAATGATTGGTGGGCATGATGGCTCAATGGCTAAAGATGCTGAATTTGTTAGCTGGAAAGCTGACAGCCTGGGTTTAAGACCCAAGCACCACGCAACAGGGTGAGCTCCCATTCCTAACCCAGCTCTTGCCTACCTAACAGTTCGAAAGAATGCAAATGCAAATAGATTAATAGGTACTACTTTGGTGGGAAGCTAACAGCGTTCTGTGCACCTTTGGCATATCGCTATGTGGCCAGAGAAAATGTTTATTTACTGTTACTTTTTATATATGGGATTTCACACTATTGGATTCTGATGAAGACATAACTTGATTACTTTAACTGTTACGATACAAATTATTTAATAAATATTTCACTGCTTTGTCATGTATGCATGCTGCACAACGCCCAATGATTCTGGATAGCTCACAACCAGTTTTTGCTCTGGGAAAATCGTTGTTATGTACTGTGATTAGCGCTGCTTGGCTTCTTATTTTTAAACTTTAACATGTTTTATAAATGGCTGTGGAATAACTATTGGAAAGATAGCACTTAAAATAATACAAGCAAAAAGAAGAATAACCTAATGATGCCTTCATAAAGGTGTTCCATTTATCTTCTTTGTTTCCAGCTAGCATGGTTTTTCAGATCATAGGAGTTTACAGGTGGTCTATCAGATATAAGGAACACCATAGGGAAGAATAGGAAATTCCACAGCACAGAGAAACATTGTATAGGATTGGTATTAGATTCTTCTTCCTGATATATGTAGACAACTCCAAATATAACTGTCATATTGTTTCAGAACTGAGTGTCCTGCTCTCCTTTCTCACCATCAAGTGAACTAGCCGTTAGGATGTTCTGGGTACACTTTTTATATTCCCCTACATAATATTTGAGAACTAATCATTGGCTATTTTGTAATGCACAGAAGGACAGGGTTAGGTGGAATGCCTAGCGTAATCTTATCCCTTCTAATGCCCTTGCTGTGCTTCATGGTGATATTATACAAATCACTGTTTTATTCACTGAATTTGGACTTCTGTGTCCATCTTTCATTGTAATCTTCCAAATGCTTTTGGGGGGCGTTTTTCTTACTTAGGTAATTCACTAATGAGTGATTAAGCGCCATCAAACCGGTGCCAGCAACATAGGTCTTAGCAATCACATAGACAAGCTTCAAGATGATATGTCCTCAGGCTCTTGTAATTGGATCCATTCACCATACTGCTGGTTATCCTCTTTTTTTCTCCCCCAAATTAGAGAAGAAAACATGTGACAGCTGCACAATATTTCTATTTTTTATGGAGAGGGAATTTTTTTTTGGCCAATAATAGCAGAATTTGTCTATCTGTAAACACTTCCTGTTTTTCCAAATGAACAACTAAAATATACCATTTATGGTATTAAACAGCTAATGATATCCCTGCAAGTGGCTAATGGTATGGGCATGGTTTGTTCCCATCATGATTGTACGGGGAAACTCTATTTGTGGTAAACAAAATCTCTCAACTCCAGCTTTTTCACTTCCCGCTTCAGTGAGTAACCCTGTGACTTCCAGTGCCATCTCAGCCTAGTAACAACCAGCTGTAGACTTGCTTAAAATAAAAAAACAGCCAAGTTTCACTGGAGAGTCAAGGAAATAATAATGGGGGGGGGGGGCAAGTGCTGCATGATACAGTAATAATTTTTATTTTTATTTACAGAATATTAACCAATATTATTCATGATATTAAAGAGTTACGCTCTGAATAGCATTTTCATAGAAAGCTTAAATCTTTATTTCAATAGATTACAGCAATAAATTCAATATTTTTCAGTTATGTATACACACAAAAAGGTTTAAGTACAAGAGGTTCTGCTATTCAAAGATGCTGATCCGAAATCCACTGCAGCCAGTGGTTCTTCTATACATCTCAGTGGATCAGTCTCTTTCAATGCTATTAAAATTCACTTTTAAAAAATAGTTAACATTGTTTTTTTTTTATGCAGTGGTTCTATATATTTTCTATTTACTGTATGTAAATTTATAACCTGAAACCTCTTCCTCAGGGAAGCTTGAAGCATCCATATTCTCTCTGGCAACCCCATGAATGGGACCTATTTCAAATCTCAGTGTGTACAAGTATATAAGAAGAAATAGCATATATCATACAGGTAGTAGTATGCAGAGAGTTTCCTAAGAATTGCAAGAAAAATACTGGCAATGAAACCAAGTTAAAGTTCTTAAACTTACTCAGTAGTTCTTTTTTAAAAAAGACAAGTGAACTGGCACAGTTTACCCACCTAATTTCTAAGTGCACTTTGTAAGTAAGCAGAATTGGCTTTGGATGTCTCGTTCCCCTGGGCAAAATGCCAGCATTGACCCCAAAATGATGCCTCTCCTACCCCAGCTTGGAAGGGGTACCTGTTAGAGGTGCACAACGTGAAGGGAGGGGTAATGAGTGTTTAATCTGGAAGGGTTTCTTTTCTTTTCTTTTTCTTTTTCTTTTAGCACAGGCCATGCTTGCAAGTTGCTGATAGAAATTGCGGGGGGAAATGAATAGGAAATCCTGGGAAATTGAAAGGTAACCATTTTATAATGGAAAAAAAAAGTTTTGGCATCCCTCAATCTGGTGGTCACCAGATGTGTTGGGCTACAGCTCACATCATCCAAACCCATCGCATCCACATTCATTTGTAGTCCAAAGCATTTGGAGGGCATGAGTTGGAGAGGGCTGATTTATTGCATTACCAAGTTTAAGTATGAAGACAACAAAAATGCAGCTGACTTTGTTATAATGTAAAAAAAAACAACAGCAGCAGCACACATAGGTATCTGAACATACACAACACTTTGTGTGTATATACATGTCCTGTGTATATGTGCTAATAAATCCTAGGGGGCGAAACAAATCATTTTCTTTTATAACTCAATATTTTAAAATACATATATTTAAACAGCCAGCTATATGCATTGGCTCAGGCTTTAGTGAGCAAACCCCACATTTCATAGACTATTCCTGTAAATGTTATGCATCAGCCAAAACATGCTTTTGGTTACTGGGGGACACAGGCAGCCCACTGTCTTCAGCCATTTCACCTTTTTTCTCTCTACAAGAACAAAACAAAAACGGAGCTACAGTACTGTTGTATGGTTTCTAAAGATGGCCATTGTCTTATAGCTTTAGCCCTATTATTGCTAGACTAACAGGTTCACAGAACATTCCACCCAACTCATAAAGGATAAAACTGAGATGCTGCTTCAGATGACTGGATTTCCACTTGAGCCATTTTGAACTGTGTACACTGCAGCCACTTGCGAAGGACAGAGGTGTTGGTGTTCATCTGAACGGATCCCTGTAACATTCTAAGGCTATGATGGTTCACGTTGTTCTGAATAGCTTGCAGGCGGAGCTGGAGGCCAGCAGATAAATGCTGTTAAAATATGTACAAGTTTTACTGTCAGTTCTCTAGGGTTTTTTAAAAATACTAATCAACTCAAAGCAACTTTAACAATGATTAATAGCAAGAGCAAGAGCACATAGACTAATAGACCGCTTCACAGAGCTTTTACAGCCCAATCTAAGTGGTTTAGAGTCAGCATATTGCCCCCAACAATCTGGCTCCTAATTTTACCCACCTTGGAAGAATGGAAGGCTGAGTCACCCTTGAGTCTGGTGAGATTTGAACTGCCAAACTGTAGGCAGCAGGCAGTTAGCAGAAGTAGCCTGCAGTACTGCACTCTAACCACTGCACCACCTTGGCTTAAGCCTACATCATCCTAAAAATTCAGAATCAATTCAGCCATCAAAGAGTGAAAATAAGAATAGCCCATAATGAGATAATCCAGTAAGAAGCAGCAGTGTTTACTGAAAGGCCTTCATAAACCTGAAAGTACCACTTATAACACACCTTACTGGGTCTTATGGATAAAGGAGGGAAGAAAGTTTCACAGAGACAATAATTTTCTTTAGGAGCTGCAAATTCAAATTTAAAAATGTGACACCTTTTAAGTCAGAGTAGGTTCACACTATTACAACAAGACTTGCACATAATGTTGGAATACTGATCAGAATGGTCTGCTTCCTTCAGTTCTGTATAAACTTTGAGCAGTTCCAGGAAACCAATTCATTTTCTCCCTCTTTTTTTTCCTTCGTCCAGTTATCATAGCCTATTCTGCATCCCCCAATTCTTGAACATGCTTAATTGTCATTTAGTTGGTTTTGTTTTGGCTGTTAAGAGGTTTGCTTCTTTGATATTCCATAAAGCTTGGAGTACTCATTCTTTCGAGCTCCACAGGAAGCACTCTTTTCTCACTCTCATTTTTGATTATTCTGGCTATTTTTATATACTTATGCAAATATAATTATCATTGGGTCATCTTATGTGAGTTTATGCTGGTCTTCCTCTGGCCCTTTAAAAGGGAAAGGACACATTCCACACATAATTTTATTAAGACAAAAAGGCGGAGTGGATCCAGGGTGTGGAGAAAAAGGAAAAGCCTGAGAGAAAAACAGGATGCAAACTGGGCTTCTCCCTTCCTGTCCTTGCCCTTGGAAGTCTGAACTAGTGAGGCAGTGGCTGGGGAGACCAAAAGGAAAAGAAATAACAATTTACTTTCCCCTTCCATCAGCAGAAAACTGCTGCGCTCTACCTTCTTTCACCTATAAAAAAAAGTCCTTGCATTCTTGACAGAACAACTCTGGATGTTTTTCACTGACAGCCATGCATGCCTATATTTACTATGTTTATGCAAACAGAGTCTTGGAGTATCATAGCTGATGAGTTCAATTTGGAATAGATGCATAATTTAATATACTGTTATTCAGTTAAAACAAATGTTAACATCTGGGAACACATTAAGGTGAACCTACCTTTAGATTGGATTGAATCATTGGTAACCACATTGGGATGAGCTGATAGAAAGGGGAAAAAAATCAGTATTCAGCGTGTTCATAATATATTTATAATAGCCACCATATTATTATATTACAAAATAAACCTAGTAATAACATCCATTTATAATGTACACAGGCAGCTTCATTAAAATATTTTCCTAGAAATAATGTCCAAGATTCCAATATACTTTACTGTTGAAGTACAAATTTAGAATCTTTTTTATTTATCAAAGTATTCAAAGTACCAACAATTATTCAAAATGTTATATTTAAGCATTGATCTAAAACAGAGCATAGATCACTTCAAATACTTTTCAACTAAAACAATCCAATTGAAACTTTGCATGGTGTCATCATTGTATGATGAAGCAACAGTTAATGTGTCATCTGGATTAAGGCCTTTTGTCTTCATGGCACTTCATTGGCAATATTGATAGGAAAAATAAAAGTGTTCAGTTGTCTCTAATTCCCCAATGTTTCTGGCTTTGTGGACCAGCTGGGGAAGGGGGGGATGATTCCTTGTGAGAGGCATGCACACATGCCTGCCACTCATGCAAATGGAACACACCACATATGCTTGCCCACTGCTGGTGCAAGTGAGGATTACAATCCCCTCACAGTCCACTAGTAGGCTGTGACCCACAGGTTGGGGACCCCTGATCTAGAACATGGCTTCATGCATGTGGCAAACGACTACAAGCAGCCTTCTATATAATGGGAGCAATTTAAACATGGAAGGTTTGCTTATTTTTTTTAGAAGTGTTGTATTTTGTTATACACCTGCTATCTGAAACTAATGACTTTTGCCAGGTTTGGTATCAAAAATGGACATCTGCTTGTATTTTTCATTTGTCCACATTAGGGGTAGGGGAGCAGCTTGTTGCAGCCACACCCAAGCTGGCACTGACTAGATAGTTTGGGATTTCAAATTTTAGAATTGCCAAGCCAAATTATTCAAGCATTAGGGGGAGAGCACTAGGTTTAGGAAAAGTTGCCTTAAAACCTTCAACTACAATAATAAATCTGATGCCAACAGATGCTGCTTTCAATCTTTTTATTTCCCTGATGAAAGATCTCTGTCAGTTTTGATGGAAACTTCTGCCATTGACTAGATGCCTCTTTCTTTCCATTTGAGAGTTTTCAAGCACAAAACTTATGAAGGAAGACAGCCAAGAAAGGAATCACCGAAAGCTAATTCACACCATTACTTCTCTTTCTATCACTCTCATAAACCCTTTTTAAAATGTATTAGTTAGACTTTCATGAGACTAGGATTTTTTTCTTTTGTTTTGTGAGCAAAAACACAGTCAAGAGGATCATAAGTTCATATGAAAAAATGCCCTTTGGCTGAAAGTGTCATACACTATGGCATTTCTGAAATAACAAACAAATTAATTTTTTTGCCATTTCTTTTCCTCCTGCAAAATTTTAGTGAAGCAAGAAACCAAAAAAAGAAGATATTCATTATAGACAAGTGGGAAACCAATGACTCTTCAGAGTTTGTTAGACAATAACTCCTCTCATTCTTGATCTTGGATCAGAATAATAGATAGAACAGCTGTCTGAACAGCTACAGATTCCTCATCCCTGCAGTTATGTCCAGGAGTGGGATTTAGCCAGTTCAGGCCTGTTTGGGTAAATTGGATGTTAAATTTACATCTCGTTCACCAAACCGGTAGTTGAACCAACTGGCTGGCCTCGCCCGCCTCACCCTACCCTTCCCAGGAATCTCCATGTGGCCTGTTTTAGATGGAGTGTAAAGTTCCACATGGAGGCTTTGAGAGGGCAAAAAATGGCCCTCCCAGAAGTTCCAGAAGTCCAGAAATGGACCTGTTTCCAGCTTCTGGAGGGCCTCCAGAGCCTGGGGGAGTCTGTTTTCACCCTCCCAGAGGCCCAAAGGAAGTCTCCGGACTGTGGGGAAGGCAAAAAATGGCCCTCCCAGAAGTTCTGGTAGGCCACACCCACCATGGTCATGCCAACCCAACAACTGGGTAGTGAACCGGTTGTTGAGATTTTTAAATCCCACCCCTGGTTATGTCAGTCTCATAGGGAACCTGGATTTCAGATACCAAAGTAACGGAAAAAACAGCTGTATTATTAGAATAATAAGTTCATTATATTAAACTGATCTATCATTCCACACATTCCGATAGATAGTAGCATGAGAGGGACTTCTGGTTGCTCTTCCATTGTGACCAGGGTGGAATCCGTGATTGTGTGTGGTTTCACTCCGAGCTAACTTTTTGGAGGGTCCCAATTGGGACCGGAACCACCTGGAGGGTTGGTGAAGAAAGGGGGAACTGCTTGAAGGGTCGAGGGGAGCCGCATCTCCCTTCCCTGACAAGATAACCCCCCTCTGAAACATGTTGCAGCGGTGGTCAAAAATGGCCACCATGAAGATGGGAAGCAGTCTGGGAAACCAAGACTGTGCTGGAGTGGTGAAGTAGCGAGCAGAGTGTGTACCAGTTGAAATACATGGACATTAAGGTACTCTACAATTAAGAAACATAGAACAATTGTGGATGAAAGTGTGTAGAAGTAGCGATCAGAGAGAGAGGGAAGGGAATTGGAACTTATAAACCTGGCTTTGAATATTGAAATGAACTAATTTGGAGGTGAAAATTCAGAGGAAAATATTTGAGTGCAAAAGGCTTGGAAATTAAATTGGATAACTATTGGACTTTTGACACTAAGCAGGCATAAATAAATGCTGGAATTGAATGTGTTGAAAAGAAACATTAGCTAATAATGGAAATTAGCAAAATTAATAAAAGTTTTATAGCTAAAAAAGGGGGAAATGAAAGAAAGGGTGGAATGTGGAAATAGTGTTGAGAGCGCCACCTGATGGTACAGGAAAAATGTCAATGACTCTTTGAAAAGTGTTTGGTCTTTTTAAAATTGGAACTTGGAACTTAAAAGAAAATAAGAGGAACTCCATCATAATAAAATAAAAACCCATAAAAGTGAAATACCAGAATATCACAAGTGGAAAGATATTTGAAAAAATTGCTTTGGAACCACCCAGTGACTTTGGGAAAAAGTTGGAAAAGAACCTGGAAACAAAGACTTATGGACATTAATTGTTGAAATTAAATATAAAAGATGCTGGTTGAAACAACCTACTGGACATTTGGATTGTATATAATTATTAAGGAAGAAGGGGAAAAGGAACAGCATACACAATGGGGGAATTATTTGCAGAAATGAGACTGCATCTACAAGATATGAAGGAAATGATGAAAGAAAGCTTGGAAATGTGCAGCAATATATTACAAAAACTAGAAATGGCTATTCAGATTGAAGAACAAAGAAAACCAGAGGGAGAGGAGTTAAAGAGGAAACCAGTCTTGAAGATCAAGTGGAGCAACGATCATTTAAGCAAGAGGAAAAAAGATTTCAAGCTCAAAATTTCTGGTTTGGTGTGATAATGAAAGTGGGAATGGTTCGGAAAATTAAACAAAGGAAAGGGAAAAAGCAAAAGACGGAACTACAGAAGAAAGATTGAGAGAGGGAGGGGGATAAAATAAATAATTGGAATGAGAAATGGAGGGGAATAATAATGGGAAAGGGGGGAACTAAGTGAAAGGACCAGAAAATAAAGAGAAACAGGAAGTAAACAAGAATGAAAAGAAATTATATAGTTAGGAGGATGAGAGACCATGGGTAATAAAGGATAGGAGAGATTCTGCAAGGTAATGTGTTGTGATATATAACAATAAGTATTTGAAAATAGATAAGATTGGAACTGATTTTTTTTCTTTCTAAGGATTATCATTATGATATGGAATTTAATGAAATTGATATGAAAATAGGAATTTATTATATGAATATTAATTGATAATCACTAATGCATAAAATTATGAGAATTATAATGGAAAGACTAACATCAGTTTCTATAATTAATTGACTAGATTAATATTTTTGCAATATATATATGATTTATAAGATGATTGAGAAAAGAATACTATGCAGAATCTGACGTAAAATATATGTATATCTGATATTTAGTAGATAGGAAAATATTGTTATTAATATAGAATGAAGGTGGTAAGTTTGAATTGACAACTAAAGGGGACAATTTTTATAATTAATAGAACAAGGATTGATAAAATGGCAAATGTGACAGATAAAAGTAATATATGTAATAAATATAGAAATGAAATAAGAATCTTAGATAATATTGTAAAGTAAGAAAAATGAAATAAGATAAGAATTGAAATTGGATAAAATAAGTTTAATGAATTTAATATTAATAAGTAATAAAGTGATATGAAACTGAACAAGAAAGATGACTATGTAACTATGGTCATGTTTGTATTGAAATGTAAAGACCTGGAACCACACTGATTGCCAAAAGAGAGTTTTTTAAAAAAAATGAAAGAAGGAATTGAATAATGAAATTATCATGTATACTTAAATAATATGGTGATTGGCATTAGAAGAATGTATTGGAATATTGAATAATTAAATAATGAAAGATTATAATTTAATACAAATATGTGTATTAACATTAGAAATATGATTAATGCTATTATTTTTGTTTGCACCAGAATGACGCACCAGTATGATGCATAGGTGCCACACTGTTTACATTTTGATGTGTGTATGTAGAATAAAATAAAAAAAAATGGGTGGGGGGGAGATAGTAGCATGAGAGCTGATTTGGTGTACAAATTGCTGGTCTAGAAACCAGGAGATTGTGCATTCTAGTCCTGCTTTAGGCATGAAAACCAACTGGGTGATTGTAAGCCAATTACTCTCAGTCCAAACCTCCTCATAGAAGTGTTTTTGTGGAGAAAATGGGAGGAGGAAGGTGTATTGCTTATAAAGGAATAAAGGCACTACAAAAAAATCCCTAATAAATAAATATGATCAAAAATGTCACATTGTAGTTGGAGTATATAGTTCCTAAAAATATAGCACCCTTTAGAGCAGGTGTGTCAAACTCGTGTCCTCACGGCATTGTCACATGACATATCAGAACGTTTTTTCCCTTTTGCTAAACTGGGCAGGGGCAGGGCCAGCATATGACGCATCCAGCCCACTGGCTGCGAGTTTGACACCCCTGCTTTCGAGGTTAACCAGAAAGTAAGGCACTATGGCTCAGTAAGTTATGAGTTTGCAGCACTGAATATTTATGTGAGCCACTTTGAAAAATAACCTGTAATGTTTTTATCACATACAAGTGTTTATCTATTTTCTTAACCTGGGAAGCTTTGCTGTTAGCAGCAGTTGTTTCCGGTATTTACTAGTTCAGATTCTCATTATTGGAATGGTGGAAGAAAATAAAAGGGCTGGTGTCAGCCTCCACGACATTTTCTTGACACCTCATGCTGTTTGCTTCTTGTCGGTTGTCATAGAAACAGGGGGAGGGGAAATTTGGTATTGGGGGGGAAGTTTGCCGGAGAGTGAAAAAGGTTTCTATGTGAACTAAAATGGAGGGAATGCTTTCCTGCTTATTGCGCAACTGGATGGACTTATCTCTGCAGAGCCAAGGTCAACCGTCTTGGCATACCAGGTGAGGGAATATCCACCTGAAGATGTACCCAACATGACACTATAAGCACTTCAGATTGGATGTCCAGTCTGGATCCTTGGAGGAGGGAACTTGGGATAACTTTCAATATGTAATTTCCGTGCCTATTTGCCTCAGATCTTGCTTTCTTTTGTTGCTATCACTTCAAACACAATAAAAGTACCTTTTTTCTATAACAATGGATCTGCGGGAGTTCTTTCTTGGGTTTTGGATGTGGCACATCTGACAACGGGTGTAATTTAATTGTAAGGCATATTTATTTTAAAAGTTGAGGTATTTTTTATATGTTATCTAAGATTATTTTAAAAACTGGACATACTGTTCTAAAAGGTTCCTCTAAATGATATCATTTTTCAGTTTTTTCCAATTAAGCTCCTACCATCATGCAAAATTGAATCAGTATTAACAGAATGAGCTAAAGCACTATTCAGAGAACATGATTTCATTGGCGAGAGTGGATGATATAATATTTGGCTGAGTTCCACTGACGGGGTCAGGGCAGTCCTTATTTAATGCACCTTATGAGAAACGATATTATTTAGGGAATCCCAATGAAGGAATAACCATTTCAACAATGTGTTCAACCACATTATAATTATAGTGATCGTCAACTATCCACAAAGGAGAAATTGGGGGGGGGGGGATTTCTTTCTTTTGTGCAAGAAAAAACCCCAAACTACTTGGAGTAATATGCAATTATAACTGTTTATGGATTGTTCCTGACCCAGCATGAAATAATCCTCTTGTTACAAACGATATTGAACTTGCCCACTTTCTTATCAGAGAAGACCTGGACATCTAAACTTGTGATCAAGGACACTTTTCATTAGACACAGATTGGATTTACCATCAATATTTCCTAACCATGAAGACTAAATAAAAACCTCAGATTCCAAAGCAATATACCTTGTTATTTCTGATGCCAAATAACAAGGTAAGGCCATCAATATCCTGTAGCAGAAATAGAGAAATGCTGGATAGATTATCTGATTTGGAAAGGCAGTTTCTATGCTCACAGCTGTTCTTTGTGAGCATTATTTTTGCCCTGTTTATGATTTAAAAAATATATCGAGAGCACACACACAGTTTTGAAAGGCATCACATAAGTGTGTTCATGTGGAAATATTGAAAAATAGTAATGCAGCTATTTTTGAAGCTGTGTCTATGAATCCAACAAAGTTCTAGAATCCCATTCATGGATATATGAAATGTACCTATTTAATGTTTCCACATGAACTGTTTGCTTATATAATCACTTAAAATATGTATTTGTGAGCAAATGCTTCTTATCTTGAATTTAAAAAGCATGCAATGACATGTCAGCTTGCATCCTTAAGTAGATGCACATTAGAAATAAAGCACTATTTTGTATGTTCTTCCAACCAAAACATTGGGAACCAAATACATGTGCAGAGATGCTTTTTAAAATTCTCTCTGTCACTTTTACAGATTTCAAGGTATATACACAATGCCATTGTTTTTACTCTCCCAAGCCCTGGGAAGCCAATTCAGATTTGTTCCATACAGTCAACTTTCCAATCTTAGTAGTTTCTATGAGTCAGCAATTGGGGGTGGGGTAGAAGAATATTCCCATGTTTTTTATCCATAGGGTGATTTGTATGAAATTACTGAAGTGACTATAGATGAGGCTAAAAGCTGCCACAGCACTATATACTGCCCCATATCCCCCATCTGCCAACAATAAGACTAAATAAAGTCTTTGAGATGGTTGAAAAGAAGGGAGAACCTGGGTGGCCTGAGATCTTACAATCAAACACTGAGCAGCCCTCTAGCTTTGTGGACCTCCAGCATCTTAAGCCAACTCTTTAGAAGGAGAGCAGTATTATGGCAGCATCTAAGAGTAACCAGGGACCAGAGAAACAACCATTAAGCACTGTTCTGATCACCACTATAGAACACCTGCCTTTGACTTGGGAGTAATGGATGGTGAAACATACTAGATTTTACATGCCATGAAACTCCCATCAGATGCTATTAGCTTGAAATGGAAAACATTAATTTCTTTAACACTAGTGCAGCTAGGGATGCCTTCGGGTTTTGTCATGAACTGGAAATGTGATAAGAATGATGTCTCAAGAACCTAGCACAAAAAAGACATCACCAGGACATCTTCCTTTATACTGTGATTAGGTGTAAGTGGGTAAAAGACCACAGGGCTTTCTCTAGAAAGGGAAATGGCTCAAAGCAATATCATTCTTCGAAAATGTAAACCAGGAGGGAGGTACAAGTGGTAAGCCGTGCCAAACCTTTTAATCCTTCCTGCAGCATTCCTGAGAACGTTTTCTAATATACCGTAATAGTCCAAATACAAAACATCCTTTATCCATTGGCAACATGCTGTTTTGTATAATGTAATTCTTTTTCTCCAAAATTATTAGAACAAAACCATAAAGGAACCAGTAATCACATGCTGTCCCTCTTATTAATAATTACATCCATTTTGGACATCACTATAGCCAAGTTATATAACTGAAAAATATTTTAACAGCTGCATTTAATTACTGGAATCTTTTTTTTTTAATTACTGAAAAGTTATATGTGAAACTTCTCTCTACAGCACTTTTTACTCCATCAAACATTGCTTTAGAACAGTGGTCGCCGAGCAGTGGGCCGAGGACCACTGGTGGTCCACAGAGAAATATCACCCCCAAAGCACCCCCCAAAGTAATTAATCCAGGCTGTGCAGAAACACAAGGCTGCACAACCCACATGGCCTGCGGGAACACAAGGCTTTCATCACTTGCATTGCAAACAAGACAAGGTAGTGAGGGGAGGAGGGAAAGGGCGGACGGGGAGAACGTGCCTCGCCTGACCACCAGGTTACTTCTTTCCACTTTTTTCTTCTTCTGCTTTTGGCTGGAAAGTAGCAAAAGTCTTTCTTTCTCTCCCCCAAACTCTGCCAGAAATGAGTCTTTGGGATCCTGCAAGGCATCCTGCTCCAAGAGGCTACGCTGGCACGACAAGTCTCACAAAGTCTCATTTCTGGCAGAGTTTGGGGTAGAGAAAGAAAGACTTCTGCTGCTTCTACTGCTTTCTTTGCATGAAGCCAAAAGTCTCAGTCTCTCCCCCCACACCCCGAGAACGGAGCTGGAGACGGTATCCTGCGATCCCAAATAAAGAATGATCAATTGATGGGAAAACGGAGTGAGGAATTTTCCTGCAGACTTTTTGGAGGATTTTCTCAGGGCCTCTGGTCCACCCGGGATTTAAAATTATGAGGTAGTGGTCCCTGAGGTCCAAAAGGTTGCGACCCCTGCTTTAGAAAGGCCATAAAATCTTCAAAAGCTTTTTTTTTAAAAAAAAACAATGCATAGGAGTGCTTGGAAGACCAGGAAGCACATATGACAAACCCTCTGTATTTCAGCCATTTAAAAAACTTTCCTGCCTCCACCCCCCCCCACCCCCCTGCAAGGGCTGACATACCTTGACAAAAATGGTAGAATTACATTCTTGCAAAGCCTCCATTAAACTGATCACATGGAGACACACCATTTCTACCATCTGGGATAAAAGAGAGACATACTGCAATAAAATGAATGAGCAGTATAATAATATAATGAAAGCAAAAACTAAATGGTTCATACTATTACTCTAACTTGATTAACATTTTTAGATAAACAGGGAGAGATTGAGATTTCACATTAAATAATTAAAATGCAAATTTAAGTTTACCTTTAATAAAAGGTATCATATCTCTGTAATACTTCTTCAGAATTACATTCTACAGTAAATGTAACAAAATGATGCACCATGCCTTCCAACTTCTGCATAACAGATGCCCTTATAATATTACTAACAAAGTTACTTTCTTTCTGAACTGTGTTCTTCATTACTTGGAAGGACCAGTTAATTACATTTCAAAACACTGCAGGCAGACACAGTGGAAATATTTGAAATTTAAATCAGTCCCATTGGCAGTCTAACAGGATTTATATATTAGGCATTTCTCATGCCATGGGTTTGACAAGCGATCGCTTCTAGATTAAATGGAATGAAGCACATACGCATTGGTGACCATGTCCTTTTCTATCTTCCACTGTAAATTTCTACCCAATCATGGTGGTATTTATCTACAACTCATTATGTTCACATAAGGATTTTGTAGGTAGGATACATTTTGTCACATGCTGTATTTATATGAAGTATTGTGCAAGCATCATTAGTAATATAGCATAAATGTGAACCTGCAAAAGAATCTATAATAATAGACCAGCTATAGCAGAAGTAGGCTAACTTTCCCTTTTAGCCATACTTCCTCATATTTAAACAGTCTACCTAAAAACAAAATCTATAAAGCTAGAGGATCTAAAGGACCCTTCCTTCCTTTTGTTTAATTCAGGGGTGCCAAGCTTGCATCACATGACAACAACGTGATGTATCACGACTTTTTTCCCTTCACTAAACTGGGAGTGGGCATGGCCAGCTCATGACACATCCAGCCCATGGGCCACGAGTTTGACACCCGTGGTTTAATTGAATAGCATTGCTGAGGCAGAGAGAGAAAGAGTGGGAGGGAGAGGGAGGGAGGCAGAGAGAGATCATAATTATTAAAAACAATAAAGAATAAGTACACATAACTTCAAGTCCTTTGAGGATCACATCAAGCTTTGGATGTCATTCCAAAATTGGCTATAATCAGGACATAATGGGACAATTTAAAGTACTAATTTTTTTCTATAAGCTCTCCTTCCCCCAAATAAAAAAAATGCTTCACTTTTTAAAATTCTTGATTAAAACAACCAGGTCTTATACCAGGTTAGATATTTGAGCTGAGTTTTAACAAGTTATGTTAAACAATATCTAGCCAATATGAAGATGTCTATGAGTATAAACTGTGCACTTCTGCAAATTTATTTCTGTGCATGTACATGTAGTTGGGATCATTATATCTGACTCACCACCTTGTTATGTGCCATCAGCTGGAGGATGCTTGGTGTTACTCGGCTCCAAAATTCCAGAGCTGTGAGGATTGCTGTAAAACTAAATTCATTTTGATTTTGGACTGTGGGAGCAACTGCAGCTTGTTCACAATATACTGTCCACAGCTGAGCAAATATAAAGGCATGGAAGAGAGAACACATATGCAAGACAGATGTCTGCGGGAAGAAAAATAAGGAAAACAAAGTCTTTGTTTTGCTTGAAAAAACACTTTAAGGAATGTATATATTGTCTTTCAGAATATAACAGCATAACAATTCATTGTTCTAGTAGATACACACACATACACATAATCTGAAATTATAATGAATCTGTCAAGAATTTTCTGAAACTCTCTTTCCTGTCAGAGGAGTGATATGACATTCATACTTAAATTACTAGTTTATATTCATGCACTGAAACAAGGCAAAGAAATAAACAAGCTTGAAAACTCTACATGTTGGAAAAATAAATAGTAGAAAAATTCTCATTAATGAGGGAATACCACAGCTTTTGTTAATTTTGACAGTAATTATGCAACCTTAAAAATAGAGGTTCCAAAGAAAAAAGCTGAGTAATTTGCTAAGTGAACTTGAGATTGGTCAGGTTTACTATAAATATTTTTCATATACTTAATCATCTCATCATCTGTCACTATAAAAATTACATTTTGATGGCAACTTCTAGAACAGGGGTGTCAAACTGGCGGCCCATGGGCTGGATGTGCCACATGCAGGCCACCACCGCCCCAGCCCTGCGAGAGGGGGAAAGTTGGGAAATGTCATGTTATGGCAACATGACACCACGATTTTGACACCCATGTTCTAGAAGGATTTTAGGATCATGCTCAAGACTGTACATTCATTTTGTTTAGTGGTATATTATAAAGTGATCATCATCCTGCAAATTTCTTACCTTGGATTGCTCCGGAAACCCAATCAGGATGACAATTAAATGATCAGCAACATGGGAACCTGCATCCAATGGAATGGGCATACAAGCTGAAGGGGAATTCGGACAGACAACATTATGTGTCAGAGACCCCAACAGTAGCCAAGAGAGCAGTCGAATATGAGACACACATTCAATGAATTCTTTGGGCCTGTAAAGAAAGAACATATATTTTGGTTTCAAGTTTATCAAATATACGTATTATTTGAAAAGCATATATACTAAGAATACCATTCTAGATAATCAATTTATGACTAATATACCATTATTACTATTCTAATGTAGATGTCTGCCCTTGGGATTGATGACTATCCTAGGGATATCATCTTTTGTTGAAAAGACATGGCAAGAAATTGAAGTAAAAATTGACAATTAAACAAAAATCTTAAAACAGCACAGAGAAAAACATAACACATCCAAGGCCAATCTCTTCCTGCCAATAGCTCAAACAACAGGGGTTATTTAGCATCTTGGCACAATCCCTGTAGGAAAAAAATTTTTTTAAGCACCTTATGTAATATCATGAGGTTCAAAATCATCCTAATTCTTTTGGGGGTGGGTGGGAAATGCTGTTTCATAAGGCATACCCTGCGACAGAGAAAGTATATTTCTGGCATCTCATATAACTATGTTATTCAAAATAAGGCATGCCCACCTTGTAGGATCTTGTGGGATGGGTGGAATTAATTAGCCAATCCCAAATAACTTGGATGCCATCCATTAAAACTTTATAGGTAATAATCAACACCTTAAATTACATTGGAAGATTCCTGGAAGCCAATGCAGTTTACAAGGAATGGGATTATATGCATGTACGTGTCAGGTCTGCTGCTGGGACTCTGCCATTCCGATGAAGATGAGGGGAAGAGGTTATTGGGGTTGCATTCTCTGCATGCTTCCACTTTTGCTGTAACTGCATGGGATTTAGGGAGCGGGGCTATCTTGAAGACAGATGGGCTTCCTCCCAGCTGATTCTAGTCATTAAAGCTCCTGAAGTTGGGACAGCTCCGAAACAAAAGAGAACAAAAGAGAAAGTGTGCCGGTTTGGTGTTGGATAATTTTCATATATTGGATTTACAGAAATGCTTATTAAGGTTCTGAAGCTTTTGGGAAGAAGAGATAAAGTAAAAAAAATAGCCAAGTTTTAAGACATTAATTGAAGGGACTAAAGAGTAAGAATATTACAAATAAAAGGCAAGAATATAAGGTTGGCTTGTTTGATCAAGGGTAAAATAGATATATTTGGTAACTTGTTATGGATTTTTGCTGATCAGTACTAAAATGATGAGGTCACTACAATCTGGGGATGAACTGCTATCCAACTAATGCTTTGGAGTTCTCAAAGCACCTAGGCAGCATTGGACTGGTGAAAGGCAGTGGGGTTTGAATTGGGAAGAATAGCTTAACGCTTTGTGCAGATTCTGATTCAAATTCAACCTGACTTCAGATTCAACCTGACTTCTTTGCAATCATTTTCTCTCAGTAAAAGTTCCTTTTGATAACTAATAGTTTCAAGAGTAGCTGAGGCAGGTCCTTACATTACCGTAGTGTATCCATTAACTTCTGACACCACCACATTCTAGAATCATCATAGCTGCTGACTGATCTTCAAGAGCAGCCCCGGGTTAGTATGCTGTTTAAGTAGAATTCCCACTTTTGACCTTTTTGGATAATGATATGATAGCTTAGCAATATTAGGATTCTACCACCCACCCACCCCAATTATCTGCAGGAGAATCAGTTATTCTAGCAGTCAAACCATAATACTTTGTCACTAAGTAGTTTCTCATGTACAGTATATATCTTCCATTTTGATATATAAATTGTAATATAACACCTGTTGGATCCATGGTTTTAATGATAAGAATATGTCTATACCAGTCATGAATGTGCAAAGTTTCCTCTTTGGCCCACCATTTGGTGACCTATTTCAAGTTTGTATCTTTAATCTAGTCATGACCTAGGCTTTTTACCCTTGTTGCATTGCAGATGGAGGATGATACAGCCAAGGCAGGTAACGAACCACAGCCTTGTTATCCCGGTGGTTGCCACGTGAGATTTCCATTGCAGCAATCTGTGCTAAGCCCACTTTTAGATGTCCACCAAAAGTATCTTCATGCAATGGCTGGGAACATGTTTTCATGTGACTCTGTAATGGAAAGGCAGGTTGTTTAGATCAGAGGTCTCCAACCTTGGCCACTTTAAGACTTGTGGACTTCAACTCCCAGAGTTCCTCTGGGAATTGAAGTCCACAAGTCTTAAAGTGGCCAAGGTTGGAGACCCTGGTTTAGATAGTAAAGTTATTTTAAAGGCTACAGAACTTGCACAATTCAATTGAAAATACACTATTTATTTACATAAAATTTCCCCAACCTTAGGTCTTCCAGTAATGTTGGGAGCTGCAATTCTCAGAATTGAATCAGAAAATGGTTTATATTAAAGGTGAATAACTCTTTATCTTTAAATATAGAGCTATTATGATGATAAATCTTGGGAAATCCATTTACAAATTACTATCATGTAAATAAGCTGGCAGCTAACTCTGCTTACCTTTTTGTCCTCATTATATATTTCAATAAGAATGATTTCATCATTTTTCCCGTTACTAATCTGCTCAAAAGTTACTTAAGCCATTAGAAAAATAACTCTGAAAATCCTCATCTCACTTCTTCCCTCAGTGGATCTGCTCTCATTCACTTCATTTCCCATTCATTTATTTCTATTATGAATTGCTCATGTTCAGGATGCATAAAGTTGAAAGGACAGTTAAAATTCCTGTTGCTGTACAATGGCCATAACCGAAGTTATCTGGGAGTTTGTTCTTCCCATTTTTTAACATTTTAAAATCATTTAAAGGTCACTCCAAGTAATATATCAGTTTAGAAGTAATATTCATTTTATACCATTTAGCTTTCACAACATACTCAGTGGCATCTATAACAATATATTTATATTAGTTTTATGTGAGATGCAATACTTGTTATTATTTATTAATATCAAGTTTAAAATATTAAAATATTAATTTATAATTTAAAATATTAATTTACGGCACTATAATCTGCTATTTTCAACAGTTTACACAATATACAATATAACAATGTAAATAATGATCATGAATCCTTAAAAAGAACAAAATTAATAGAACAAGGAAAAAATTAAAAGGAAATTGATTGCATAGTACTTAAGCTTGGAGGAGCCCTCCAAAATAACATTAGTGTTAATATTTTTCTGACAAAATGAGACCAGACTAATTTTCATGGGAAGCTATTCCAAAGCACTGGTGCTGCTACAGAGAAACGTTGCTTTCTAAATTCAGTTTCTCTCACCTCTTGGAAGCACAGAACTATAAAAAGTTTTACGCTGAAAGATCTAGCTGGATCAGAAAATTCTGGTGGCAGGAGGGGGTCCTGCAGGTACCCAAGTGACAAGCAATAAAGGGGTATGTGAAAATCTAGAGCTATATCTAGAAATAGACTCAAGCTGCTCCTATGATATCAAAATGGAGATGCATCCATATTTATGATCTGACCACATTCATTCTTCTCTGTTCCCTCTGCAAAACAACGTTTTGTGGATTCATGACTGGAACCAGCAAAGATGAAATGCTAAAAATCTTAGACCTCCTGACTTTGAAATTATAAGATGAAGATGGCTTGCTAAAAGATAACTGCAGTGGAATAAAGAGCCAGTGAGTAATTTGGCTCTTTGTAATTCCTCTCTGGATAAAAAAAGATCTTAAGTTTGCCCACAAGTGCTCCATATATTGCTTCTTATGTGTAGGCCTCAAGACAGTAGTCTCTGGTGGGAGATAAGAGAATAGCCATTTTATTCAAACCACAGCTGACACCTTTAAGGACAAAGGGTCCTTTTAAAAACATTGTCAAAAATCTATCCTAAAATCATTTTGTAGATATAATAAGAAAGAAGTACATCTTAAGAGGGGGCGGAGCTGGCGTCGCGATGATACGGCATGTGATCTTGGAGGTCTGAGATCGCTGCTGATATCTTTGCTCCCAGACGGTCCAAGTGGATCTAAACTGTCCCGAAGAGATGGTGAATGTAAAGAGCACATCCTGTCGATCCCAGGGATATCTCAAAGTCCCTGATAGATCCAGGAGAAGCTCTTTTTGCCAGCGGCAAAAAGGCAGCCATTAAAGCTGCTGATGTTGGGACAGCTCCGAAACGAAAGAGAACAAAAGAGAAAGTGTGCCGGTTTGGTGTTGGATAATTTTCATATATTGGATTTACAGAAATGCTTATTAAGGTCCTGAAGCTTTTGGGGAGAAGAGATAAAGTAAAAAAAATAGCCAAGTTTTAAGACATTAATTGAAGGGACTAAAGAGTAAGAATATTACAAGTAAAAGGCAAGAATATAAAGTTGGCTTGTTTGATCAAGGGTAAAGTTGATATATTTGGTAACTTGTGGTGGATTTTTGCTGATCAGTACTGAAATGATGAGGTTTTAAGAATTTGTTTATAGATAAGAGATAGGATATGCAAAGAAGTGATCATTTTTTGTATTTTTAAGAGAAAGTGATACGTTATTGATATTTGTTGTAATGAAGCAGGTTTCATTTCTTTATATTTCATTTCTTTATTGTAATTTTGTCTTTCTTTTTTATTTTTTCTATTTTCTGTTTTTTTCTACACTTCTTTTATTTCTGTATTAGTTTTTTATCATTTAAGTTGTAAATTTTAAAAAAATTAACATTAAAAAATTACCTACAGAGGTAATTGTCTAATCCTGAAAAAGAAACTATGTTTGATAATAGATAAATTTCCATGGCAGGTATCAAAATGCTCCTATCTCCATCAGAGGAGGCTGCTAGAAGGGTTATATAATTCAGAATGGAATAGTGGAATTCACAAGAAGAAACATTACAAGCAGAAACTTTAGCAACCATAAAACTAACACAATTTCTGTTTTATTTGAGATGCTCGTTTTTATTTTAGATTTTTCACAAACATGATACTAAAATATTCCTCATTAAATAGATAATATAGAATTTCATAAAAATGAAATAAAGTGACATTGAGTTGATTTTTCTAAACTCACCTTTAATTTGGTTAACGTATGCATGTCAGCAATAAAATCCAAAACTTCACCAATGTACTGCCTCATGCATTCCATGGCTGCTGTTCCACACTAAAATTTGAACACAAATACTTCACTTTACCCCAAAGCATAATAACATAAAACACCAGCCCAACACCCAATACCAATGGAACTCTGTTGACCTTAAACCAGATTGTCAACTTCCTCCCATTTCATTCAAAAAATCATATAACGCTTCTGGGAAATGATCATATCACAATGGAAAGACACAAAGCACATAGTTTCTGATAGCCCAATCTACCAGAATCAGGGGTACAGTGCAATTATCTAGATTAGACCATTAGGTTAGACCAGTAAGACGGACTTTCCCGGTTTGATACTTCTCACAATCAAATACTCAACTGAAGAAACTATGTGCTTTGGGCTGGCTCAGCGAAGAGCTTTATGAAGAAGGCTCAAAATCTAAAGATCCCAGGAGTTTGGTGGAGGGAAGTGATATCATTAAACTGGCATTAAAGCAACATAGGCTTTGTAGTGTTAAGGGCTTTGAAAGGCAACTTCAGTTCTAATGTAACAGGCAGTCATATGATTCAAACTAGTTTCCTAAAACCTGTTGCTAAATATATTTACATGGAAAGTTACATTTCTCTCTCTCCCCCTCCCTCTTTCTCATATGTCAGATATCAACAGAGAGTAATCTCATTCCCTGATATCAAGCAACCCCAGGATTTCTGAAGGGGAATTGTCACACCTGGTTTAGAATGTAAAATGACAACACCGATTCCTAAATGAAGTCATTACACGTTCATATGCTAACCAGTACCTCCTGTCCAAAGTTGCCTATATGGAATTTTAGGGGAAAGAGTGACAGAGCCTGGGAGTGGGGAATGAAGTCAAAAAAGGAATCAGCCCAGCTCTACATTGGCACCAGCGGACTTAGTCCAACTTATCTTGAATCCTTAACTAGTGCCCAAATAGTGCGAATTAATTGACTAGATTTGTGTGCATAGGCATGAGCAATAAATAATTTTAAATATTAATTAAAACTTAACATGTGGTCCTGGTCTTTTGCATCTGAGAAGAATGTGGATATACAAAAAAACCAATAAACGTGACTGTAAGTCACCCAGAGTTACCTTGAGGAAAAATGGGCAGCCTACAAATTTTTATAAATAAATAAGTTAAGGGTTATAAACATGTATACTATCCGATTAATCTTAAAAGGAATATTGCTCACTTAAGAATAATTCATAGAGCACTAAATAATTCCACTGATTGTAGTAAGAATAAAATCAAGCTACCATTAGCCTTGGGTTATGTAAATTACATGATCATAAAGTGCAATGCTGCATAACTGCACTGCTTAGTGACAGCAATTCCAGCCATCCCAGTTGCCATTATTAAATGAGGACCATGTGGGATATTAAGCAAGAACCTCACATGACTGCACTTCCAACTTCCTACCAAATTCCCCATTGACTTTATTTGTGGAAAATCAGCAGGGAACACAAGAAATCACAATCACATTACTGGGGGGGGATGGCTGGAATGCCAAGGATCAGTCATGAGTACTATTTATTCAGTGGCATTGTAATTCTCAATGGTCACTAACAGAGTTGTTGTAACCTGAGGACCACTTGTATTGTATTTTTAATAAGAAAGTTGGCAGTAAAGGGAAAAAAACAAATTAGAAGGGACCTAATAAATTTTGCAATACTTCAAGATAATTAATGTATGGTGGACATGTATTACACCTATTCAACAAACAGCAGTTTCCATTTACAAAACTCACTTGGAGATTAGCTGTTGAAAGTTGGAAGCAGAAAATAAGGAAGCAACAATAGGAGTTCCACTGCTATATTTTAATGACTGACCCAAGTGCTTCTCACTTCTCTGTATAAAATTTAAAATCTACATGAAGGTGAATGACACCACTTTTTGTCTTCTCCACTGTTCTGCATATCAGTTTACTTGACAGAACAACGAACAGTAAAAATAAGGTCACTGAGAGTCCTGTCAAACTATTCTCCATCTTCCAGTGAGTTTGGATGAAGAATTCCATACACTGCTTCTGTCAAGCTGAACAATTTGATGCTAAAAGAAATTGGGCATTGCCTCCTTGAATACAAATGATTCTATGCCTATAAAAATGATTCTTCTTTATTGCATTCTGCTTCTCTACCTTGTATCAAATACATTGATTAAAATTAGAATAAGCACATTCTGTTACATTGCTACCTTTCTACCAGATGCTTCAGTTCGTCACAACTCAAAGATCACATCACTTGGAAAATAATATTAGTCATTTGAATCGTGGAAGTATGAAAGGTTTGGAATTTCATTTTGCAAACTGATTCACCCTTAATCTCATTGTCAGAATTTCTCAGCCAGCACTTCCATGGCGGCATGTTGATTGGAAATTCTAGAAGTGGTAGTTCCACCAGAACTGAAGGGTTTCAGTTGGGGAAGTCTTTAGAAATCCATGTTCTTCACATACTATATCTAAATGGAGAGCCATCACATGAACAAAAATAGATTTCTACTTCATCAGGTTAAAACAATCACCGATGCTTATTGAAATAAGTGGGGATTCTTTAAGCCATAATCTAACACTTTTGGCAAAAGCTAGACAACAAATAATCAGCCTAAAATTGTAATGCTAATTAGCAAGCTACATTTTTGTCAGATTTATTCCATGGATGTAATCCAGTATACAAACTGGTAATTTTCAATGACTGCCGCAGAGGAAAAATGTAACGTCTATATCTGGCTCTGTATAAAATTGGAGTGCAGGAAATTGGGGCTTTTAAACACTTACTCCAGGGAGAGAAGCAATCATTTGCTTGTGTAAGATCATTGATTCGGCTAGCTTTGTCCCAGCATCTGCGCAAACAAACTAATGAGAAATAAAAGGCAAAATGCAGTTATCGGTTATCATTTTGCTGATATTTGCAGTTAAATTTGCAGAACACAAATGGCTAAACTCTGAATGGGAATGATGTCAGTTATTCAGATTCAAACTATATAAAAATTACTGTGTATTGTTTTCCCCAGTTCCACATCCACAAATTTAACATGTTTCATTCAGCCCCATTACACAGACATCTAATTCTGTTGCCGTCGTGTGAATTATAGTTGTAAGCAATGTGGGTTTTCATTTCAGAGCAAAATATTTGAAATTTCTTGTCCATCTTCATGTGTTTTTTCTTACTAAGGGCTTCTGATGTTTTTCTACACTCATTCAAATTAGAAGTAACATTGTATTATTGAAGACAATCTATATCAGGCTTGTCCAACCCGCGGCCCACGGGCCGCATGGGGCCCAGGTCGCCTCGTAATACGGCCCAGTGCCCACCCCAACCTTTGTGCCAGAGCCAGCGAGGAGGAGGAGGAGAGGCAGGAACGAGGTGGGGCGAGGCGAGCGCCAGGCCAAGCAGCAAGAGAAAAGGCGGGCGCCGTCAGAGCGCCACCTCCTGCTGTTGCCGCCACCGCCACCACTTCTGCCACCGCCATCGCTGCTGCTGCTGCCCCCGCCGCTGCTTCTGCCCCCGCCGCCGCTTCTGCTCCCACCGCCGCCACTTCTGCCCCTGCCGCCACCCCGCCAACGCTTCTTCCCCACCACCGCTGCCGCTTCTGCCCCCGCCACCGCTGCTGCCCCCACCGCCATCCCCGCCGCCACTTCTTCCCCCACCACCACTGCTGCTTCTGCCGCCGCTGCCGCTGCCCCCGTGGCAGGGGCAGTAGCGGCGGCAGTGGCGGGGGAAGAAGCGGCGGTGGCGGGGTGGTGGTGGGGGCAGCAGTGGTGGCGGGGGCAGCAGCAGTGGTGGGGGAAGAAGCGGCGGCGGGGGTGGCAGCGGGGGCAGAAGCGGCAGCAGGGGCAGAAGCGGCGGCAGCGGCGGGGGCAGCGGGGGCAGAAGCAGCCGCGGTGGCGGGGGAAGAAGCAGCGGCGGGGGCAGAAGCAGCAGCGGGGGCAGAAGCGGCAGTGGCGGTGGGGGCAGAAGCGACAGCGGGGGCAGAAGCGGCAGCGGGGGAAAAGCGGCAGCGGCGGTGGGGGCAGAAGCGACAGCGGGGGCAGAAGCGGTGGCGGGGGAAAAGCGGCGGCAGTGGAGGGGGCAGAAGCGGCAGTGGAGGCAGCGGCGGCAGGGGCAGAAGCAGCAGCGGTGGCGGGGGAAGAAGCAGCGGCGGTGGTAGGGCAGAAGCAGCAGCGGTGGCGGGGGAAGGCTTCTGCCCCCTCTGCTGCTGCTGCTTCTGCCTTCCAGTCCTGCCTCATCCAGCCGAGCCATTTGCAGGAGGAGAGGTAGGCGCGAGGCGGGAGAGCTTTCTCTCCCCCCCCAAAAAAAATTTGGCCGGAAAATAAACCGTGATAAAAAAACTGTGATAAAAAAACGTGATAAAAAATAAATAATTTTTAATTAATAATTAATAATAAATAATAAAAACATCTCACTAACTTCATTTCCAAATAAATTTAATATGTTAACTATGTTTTCTATCGTTTTTTTGGATGATCAGGTATCGTTACTGTTATTTTATTTTATGTGCGGCCCAAACCAAATTTTCATCTTCTAATGTGGCCCAGGGAAGGTGAAAGGTTGGACACCCCTGATCTATATACTACTAAAACTCTTATTGTCGTGATCTTTACTTGGACAGAACAGTGCTTCACAGGGAAACAATTTTGAACCAAGATACCTCCATTAGGCTGACTTACAGAATGTAAGAAAATCTGGGATCTATGACTCCCAAAGATATGAAATTGTGGCTTCTTCAGTGCTATAGGTTGCTGCTCTACTGCTGCTGCAGCCATATGGTCTTCAATTTCAACATTCTGTGCCAATTTCCCAGCTAATCTTGGTATCCCTCATTCCAGGGGTGGGATTCTACCAGTTCGCACCTATTCGCTAGAACCGGTTGTTAACATTCTAAGCAGTTCGGAGAACTGGTTGTTAGAAGAAATTACTGGTCTAATCCTGTAAGGAAGGCAGGGAGGAAACATTCTGGTGTTGCTTACAGAAACTGCCTCTCCATTAACCCTTATTACATTCTTGGCAGGACTGTCTGGAGTTTTTTCCCCCTCCTTTGCTGGTACTTTGCTTGTGTGGAGTGACCAGTCAAAGTTACAATGGCACTGAAAAATGTGACATGACCATTTTTCACACTTACGACTGTTGCAGAAACCCCACAGTCATGAGAGGCCAGGCAAGGAGATGCGTGCCTCAATGTGAGTGATGTTGAATTGGCCACGCCCAGCCAATAACATGACCACCAAGCCATGGAAAGAGGAAGAATTGTGTGAAATTTATCGATTTTCTGACAGAAATGTCTTAAGGAATAATTGTCCTAAAATATGTGTAGTAATAAATGTTGCTGGAATATGGTATTAATTAAAATGCTACGATATTTCAGAATGATGCTGGCGGTGATGGTAAACACTTGCCAGTGAGTACAACTATTTTGTGAATGGACAAAGATGAAAGAATTGTAACTTTTCTCAATGAGTTCATGTACAATATCACTGAAGCACATATTTGCTCCTTTTTTTTGCCTTGTCACAAGTCAGTAATTAAATTAAACTAAATCTTTTTCAAGATTATTTAAATGTGAACAGGCAACACCTACCATGCTTCTGTAAAAAAGCAATGTCCTTTGGTATTAACATTTTTTCCTAATGCTATCACTCTCCTTTCAGGAAGCAGGTAGATTTCTGCCTCACATCATAAGGAAAAGAAACAGACAAATGCTTCATATGTGTGCCTCATCACTTCAGTGTGCCTCATCACTACCCATATCAACTGCTTCCAAGGCATTGAGACATCACGGGCAATAGATTTAATGCTAGAGATATAAAGGAAACCCACACAACAATTGAGCAAAAAAAAGATGAATGTGTCCTGTGCTTCTTCCTGGAAATCTGTTGTCTGCGATAAAAGTCGACAAAGGCTTCAGAGATAGGTGGATGGGTGGTGGCCCGGGAGACCATTCAGTGCACATTTGAGAAAAGAGAGAAAAATTCTAGCAGTGAAATTGAATCCAGAGGTTCAATTCTGAAATAGGTAGGGCAATAAAGTGAGGGTGTACGTCAAAGTTTCAAGTTGCATTAAGCCTCACATGGCGTCTTTCTCTCTCTCTCTTGCTATTTTCCCATTACTAAATGTTGCTAAATGTCTGGAAGGAATCATGTTAGGGAACTCTATCCTAGAGAGTAAAATACAGATCTGATATAAAAACAATGACACACTGGAAAGTACTGGGAAAAGACATTACATACGATGAAAGATCTGGAGAATGTGACAGCTACAGAAAGATAGAATGAGATGTGTATAATTAGTATTGAGAAGAGATAATTAGGAAATTATGATAGCCATTTTTAAATTGTTGAAGAGTATGCTGTCACATAAATAGTACACCACTTTTGTTTTCTGTTGCAGCAGACAGCGGAACTCAAATAAATAGGTTTAAATTACAAAAATTACAAAAGAAAGAAAGAAAGATTAGGTAGGAGGAGTTCAGATGGTATCTAGCCAGCTGCTGCTGTAGGAATGGATTGCTTTTACCATCACCAGTTTGGGCTAGATGACTTTCTGTAATATTTCTCAATTTGACATTAATCTTTCTCTTGACCATCCATAGATAATGTTCATGTAGTCACCGAATCTCAATTAGCAAAGTGAGAAAAGATGAAATACTTGAATACTAGAGAGATATTTTGATCAGCATTTTTGGTTTACATCTTCATATAGAAGCACGAACAGCTTTCTTGGAAAAACCAACTTCCTTATCCTAAACTTAGTCATATTTACTGACAGGGTATCTTCCTCCCTTCTTCAATTTGGGAAACTAACTTATAAATAAAAATTTGCCTCCATGTGTTTTTATTTAGCAAGACACAATATGTAACCTTTAGTATAATGTTGTGAATCGATAACAGAAAATGGACAAGACCGGTTACCTTGCCAATTTACTTTTTTGATTTATAGCCCACCTCTCCTCAAGAGCTCATCTGACAAGAAAGAAGATAGATGGTACTCTTTGAACTTAAAGTTTCTTTTTACAAATGTACAAATTAAGAACAAAGAACCTAAGAGAAGCTTTGCTAATCCAACATTTTATGCCTCACAATAAATATATTCAGGAATCTCGTAAACAATAGCAGAGTGGGCAGGGTGAGTAGTTGTTCCTTAGCAGTTGATATTTAAGTATGCTGCCTAACAATCAATAGCCTAATATTTAATGAATTTGAGTCTCCTTGATAAAGAACTTGCTTGGGGGGGAATTAAGTTTATTGCTTAATTAATAGAGATGGATGTTCTTCCATTATTTTTGCCATCATCAGAGCGCCATTTCCATCTCTTTTTGTCATCACTGACTATTTACCATAGATTCTGTTTCTATGTTTAATAACTCTTGGCTGTATTGTGGGGGACATTCATGTTGCTTAGAGTTAAAATTACAAGACAGTAGATTTGAACTGATTGTAAATCTTGACTTGTGAAGACATATCATAACCCCAAATTCTGTACAATTGCACTGTTTTGTCTTCATAAAAAACAGTATAAGTTTTCTTCACAAATGTGTCAATCTAAAAAATCTCAAAGAGTTCCATCCCCAAAAATGAATTGAGGGCTGTCTATATCTGGTAAACAAGGCCCTACTGATTTCCATCCTCTTTCCTTGGGGGCGAAGAATTCATGGAATAAAAGAACTGAACAGATATCACTTATTCAAGGAAAATTGTTTTATGTTTTAAAATACAACCACTTGTCAGTGGTCCACTGCAGAATGAGTGCTCCAGCACTTAATTATATCAGAACAAGAACCATCTGAAGCAGAAGGAACCAAGATGGCCCATGGCATGATGCACAGCCACACTCAGCCCTTAGAACAAATACAACAAAAGAAGATACCACACACAGCAAGTTTTTGTTTTTAATAAAATATCCTTAGCAATTATCTGAATCTTTCCAGCTTTTCCTAAAAAGCAAAAAAATAATAATAATAATTAATAAATTAATGCTAATTTTTATACAAATATGTTGACATTTTTGTTAATATTGACTAATCTGTATCAATATAGTTTTTCATTGGTATGGAAGTGAGTTCGTGGTATAACAATGAATTCCAGTTCTCTGTTCCATGCCTTCTATATTCCTCAGGGTGCAAAACTGGTTAGTCCATGAACAAACTGTTTTGAAGAATGCTGGAATACTCCGTTACCTCTTTGGACCACCCTAAACTTCCTTCTAGTTTAGTTCCAGCATAGGAAAACCTATTTGCCAGTATCATTTGTTTTAAATGCATCCTTGCTTCTGAGAAAGAGTAACTTAAGATAAGAATACTATATGTATAAGCCAGGTGCTTCAAACAGGGACAAAAAGAGGCTGTCAATCATGAGGAATGATGGGTGACCCTAGGAGCAAATCTGCAGAGCTCGGCATTTTGCCATGGGCCATCCTGGTCACTTCTGTTTCAGCTGATTGTCATTTTGACACGGTTAAGTGCCAGTGATTGCCAGAGCAGTCACTCTGCGTTCGAGGTCAGTAACTGCCAGTTGCTATATATAAAAATGTAAAACCATTTGACTTGAATAAGTGACATCTGCTATGTTCTTCCACTCAAGTCCTTGTAATGTGAATCCTTTAACCTTAAAGAAGAACTGTTGAGATGAGCAGGGTCTTGTTTACCAAACATGAAGAGTTCTCAGTTAATCTTTTGGAATGGAGCTTTTTCTATTCAGATTACCCACCTGTTGAAGAAAACCTGTACCATTTGATATGTAGCTGCAGAATTTGGGGATACAATCTGTGTTCACAATTTCAGATTTCCAATTAGGGCAATTATTCTACTGTCCTACACTACGGCTTCTTACAGTCTAGAAAGATTATTATTATGGCTGACCCTATTTATTATGGCTGACCCTATTTGTAAAATATATGAGAAACCTGTGTTTTTTCGTTCTTCCTAAAGAAGAAAATAGTTTAAAAACCCTAGAACAATTTACATTATACTTTAAACTCTCTGACAGTAACTTCTAAACAATACAAGTCAGGCAAAAAGGTATAAATAAAGTGTAATTGTGAAATATTTCAGTATTTATTAGATGCCTGTCTAGATTTATGTCTTTAAGAATAACGCACTTCAGATTTGATTTAGGAAACAAATAATTTTTACTTCTGCTAGTACAGTCAGCTTGGGAAAAAAGATGAAGGGGAGTTATGGTTCTGTACCTGCCAAATTGAGTAGTGCCTCAACCACATAATCCTTAGTTTGATCCAGGAAAAAATATTCTTAAATTTTATTCGATGCTGTTACATAGTAATGAGAGATTCTGGGTTCACGGCCACCACATTCAGTTTCTTCTAGTGCACTGGAAATGCTCACTCTTCAGTGTTACTTTATTTTTACATAAATAAACAAACTGAGTGGGGAAAGATAAGATTTAAAAGCTGTCTTCATTTCTTGTCTACTTTGCAAAAGATATTTTCAACCATTTATGCTAATACTTGCACTTCACTAATATTTTCCTCTTCTGTTACACAAATCAGAATAGCTGGCGTTAGGAATATCATGCGTGTTTTAATTAAAAACTGATGATAAAGAACTCTAAATGAAAAGTTTTATTATATTGTCCTTGGAGATTATCCCATTTGCAAATTGCTTGGTATTTGTTCCAGCTGAGAATTTAAAACAAGAGAGATCACCAAGAACAAATATACAGGCTAAGGAAATACAGTGGACATATAGCCATAAATTTAACAGTCTTAAACTGACACAAAGATAAAATACTTCACAGCATGAAATATTTTGCAGAAAGGTGAATTTGGCTGCCTCAAGTAGCACAATTTTGTAAGATGGATAACAGCATGTGACGGTATTTCAATAGTGTGGCAATTTTTTTTTCAAGCATTTAACCCTACCTCTAACCTTTCAAACAGTGAAGAGAAAAAGGACAAAAATGGTCACTGCAGAACAATTACAATATTTGTTTGTACCTGGACCAAGAGCAGCAGATTGGTGTCTGGCAAAGGCGACTTTAACTTCAAAGCTTGCAGTAACTCTAAGATGACACTGCGGGATAAGTAGAATTTATCCCTTTCCTAAAATAAAGGAAATTAGTGTTAATCATACTTTTAGTTTCATAAAAGTGTGTGTGTGTGTTGACAGTTATTTCTCCCCATATTTTCCTGCATATACATGGTGTACCCCAAAATCAAGGCTCGTAGATAATTCATTATATAAATTACATTAAATGTTTGAACTGGTAGCTATTTTCTTCTAAACTCTTCTTAATGGCAGATGATCTTCCTTACTGATGAATGCTCTTTAAACATACCTATGTATAGTAACATGTTTGCAAATTTTAATGTAATGGACTCCTTTAGATCATCTACTATTAGACTGTGGCACCTGACTTGTGCTACACTCTGTCACGTATCTGCTGTCTGCATGGATGTGTATATATTCATATTTATGTGCTTGTTTGCATATACCCTATGCAGATGTTTGGCTATTGAATATCCTCTGCTTCCCACCCACCCCTTCCTATTACTTCTGGGACAACTGCTATTCTGTTCTAAAAACCCCACAAGTGTCCAGATCAAATGTAGGGAAGGAGGGACAGAGGGGCTGCAGATAGAAACAGACACTGGTGGAAACAGCCTCTCACTTCCCTGAGTGAAAACATCATTGTAGAGGAGTTTCAATCCTTAGAATTTAGGATCTCAACTACAGAATATGAATGAAGATATTAACTCAAAGGAGTATTGAAAAAAAAAAAGGTGGATTCTGAGTGTCATACCTAGATTGTAAAGCATCCAACAGTATTTTGGCTTGCCAGGTAGTTTCCTATAAATTTTTTGGTTGCATTTGCAGCATATTGGCCGAAGTGTGCCAAAACTAATAGGTATGTCTATACAGCAGGGAATGCTTCAAGTTGCATATCCTCTCCCTATTTTACTAACTAGTATTAAACAGCACTTGGCAATAGCATTTATACTTATACGTCGCTTCATAGTGCTGTGCAGCACTCTCTGAGTGTTTTACAACATCAGCATATTACCCCGAGCAATCTTTGTCTTCGTTTTACTGACCTCAGAAGAATGTAAGGCTGAGTCAATCTTGAGCCGGTCAAGATGGAATTGCTGGCAGTCAGCAGAGTTAGCCTGAAATACTGCATTTTAACCAATACACCACCACAGTTGAATCAAATGTTCAATTGATTTAAGTCATTATGGTAAAGGTCAATATATATGGACACTACTGGTGGGAACTGTGGCAGTGTGGCATATAGAAGAGGATGCCATAGAATGTAAGAGGAAAAAATGGCAAAGAACACAAATTAATGAGAAGAATGAAAGAAAGAAAAAATAGTTATGTGTTTGTGAAACTAAGAGAAACAAGAAAGATGTGATAGAACCTTGGATGGATGGATCGATGAATGAATTGATGAATGAATGAATGATGCAGTCAGTGAGTGTATTCTAGAATGTGAAGGTAGGAACGTGAAGGATTTAATTATGAATGGAAAGTATGTCCATTAAAAGTATGTCAGAAAATATAAATTGGTGACATATAGATTTATTGTAGGCTTCAATGAAAGTAGGAATCCATGGGGTATTGACAGTTACATGTTTCACTCCAGTGAACACAAATTATGGAAGAGCCAGGAATGAATTTTGGGGGAAAGTGTGCAAAATACTGAATGAATGTGATCCAGGGGAAAAATATTTTGTTATATGACATAAATGGATGGTTAAGAATGGGACACGAGAGTACAGAAAAAGTAGTGAGTCTCTACTGAGGCACAGAATAAATGGGAATGGTGACTGATGAGCATCAGTGTAGAGAAAGTGCTTTTTTTACAAGCATAAATCTTTTCATACAGAGACATGGAAAAGGAACGAATCAAAAAGCACATTGAATCTGGTTGTTGCTTTTTAAATAAAAAATGACAAAATTAGTGGTGGGCAATGAGATGCTCTGAATCCACCACATTTGGTAACATCAAGAGTGGATCATGGAAAAAATGCACATGGAATTAAAAAGAAAAGAAATACGAAAAAGAAAAGAAACTAACTGAAAGCAAAATAATTGTAGGAAGAGAGAATATAAGGGCTGTTCAGCAAAGTTCATAAAGCAAACCCTTCCAAGGAAATCTATAACAGTCTATTTTTTTCTGGGTATGTCTGCGAGTCTGCGTATACACATGCACATGTGCATATGTGTATCTATTTCTATCATCTCTGTCTCTATTTCTATTTCTACCTCTATGTGGTTTTGTGTGTGTGTACCTGTGGCTGTGTTTGTGTGTCCACATTCCAAAGCTCCAACCTCTTGTGAGCCAAAGGATTTACATTCCACAAGTGAAGAACATGTCATACAGAGAATTGCGGTCATGTCATCTCTTGTTCTGCTCATTGAGCAATGTCTCCTGGTACATAGAAAAATACTTATACTCCCTACTTATTTTACTTTTTTACACACACACACACACACACACACGGGGGGGGGAGGGAGGAGAGAGAGGGAGAGGGAGAGAGAGAGAGAGAGAAAGAGGTGGTCCCTCAGGCAGTTAACAGATATAAGTGTTTACTAGATTTTCATTATTTTTCTAGTTGCAAGCACTGGAAATAGCAGTCAACACCCCCCTGCCCCCAAGACCCTGAAATCAAAGCGGGTGTCTGTGATGAAAGTGGCCGTTCCTATTGATACCCTGTTTAGACAGTCACCAAAGATCATATTCTGCAAAAGGAATTAAATTCATTCATTCATCATTACATAACTATATTTTATAAAATCTATTCCAATTCTAAAATTCAGATTTTTTTTGAATTTTAGGAGGAAGGATGGTTAAATATAGACCAGAGAGATTTGGACCTACACAATTATTATAATTTGAAAGGTAAAAAACTGTAGTCATGCAAGAAATCCAAATAAGGCAATGCGATACAGTACTCTGTTGCTACTGGGAAAATATTTTAGTGTTTCGATAATATACTGCTGCCCCCTCTAGCATCTTGACCCCACCCCCATGTGAGGCTGGCCCCAACCTTTCTATCCTATAAGACCTGGATCTGTCAGTTGGCCTTGGGTCCATTCAGTGGATTCCTTTTATCTCTTAGTGAGAGATAAAAAAATTAAGATTTCTTAAATCTGAAAACAAGGAAGTCAGCTTAAATTTGCCAAATTGTTTAAAATAATTGTAAACCTTTCATGTATAACCCTAATCCTAACTAGAGGATTATAGCATTTTTCATTTGCAAGATAAAAAGAGAGTTGCCTAAATTTCTGTTCTGCTGGAAAGCATAACAAGGTAGTGTTTCATCTCTCCCTAAAGAATTTTAAAATAACTACAATTGAATTACCTTTGTGAAAGCTCGGTGACATAAGCCACACAGTTCAATCAAATAAGCCAGGGTAAAGATGGCATTCTGAATGACAAAGCTCAGCAATTTTGAAAATGGTTCCAGAAGGCTCTGTAATAATAATAGCAATAATCATAATTATGTCAGAACATTTCCATGCCTCTGCAAAATGCACAATGCACATGTTATGAAATTTTCCACCCTAACAAAGCTTTTAGTTTTCACTTGGAAGGTGCAAGGCTGTGGCTGTCCAAGTTGATTCATCTCATGGCTGATACTCAGGAATTTCCCAGCCAGTACCTTGAATGAACTTCTGGAGGATGTTTCAGGGGGAAATGGAACTTTCCCTCTGGGATAGTTGCTAGATAAATGCTGAAAGTTGGCCTAGACTGCTAGCCTCTGTCATTGGAAGAGCAAGCAACAGCCCGGCTGACATCACGATGAGACCAGAAGCAGGGAACAGAAGTCTCCATTCCTGCACTGGCTTCTCGCTGTTTGTGGGCTTCGAACTGAGCCAATAGCCACCTTGTAGTGGTGGCGAAGCAAAGGAGAGGTGCCCGGTGAGGTTCCGGAGGAGAATGCAACTCCCCTGTGGAAACCCTGAGCTTGCTCTGTACGCCACAATGGAGAGAAGAGCGACCAAGATGGCCGCTACAGAGTTGGGACAGCCGAGGAACATCTAAGCGCAGTGCTGGAATGGAGACTAGGAATGTTGTTCAGAGAAGGGTGAGAAGAATTCATTTTATTTTTTTACTACCCCAAAAAGACTATAACAGAGAAGGTTAGAGTTAGCAGTGACTTGGAAGAGGGAAGAAGAAATGGGAAATGGAAAGAGCTTAAACTTTTAAAATCTTAAAAGCAATAAATTTGGAAGAACACTAATTCGGAATTGGCGATTGGGCAGGATTTGGCATTGAGAGGCATTAATTTGAATGCTGGAAATAATTGTTCTAAAAGAGAAATAATATTTGATTTTTTAAAACAAAATTTGTGAAGCTAATTTAAAGAAATGGAAAAAGAATGGCAGTGAAAGTGGACTAAAAGCGCCAGGTGCTGATGAAAGAAAAATCCTGCAGATCTCTTCAAACTAACTAGTTAATCAAAAGAAGAAGTTAAAAAGGAATAAAAGAAAGACACTACAGTAATACCCCTGGAAGCTGAAATATATCATAATTAAAGAGCAAGGAATATTAGAGGACATCACCCTGGGAATTACTGGTGACTTGGATTGATTAACTAGAAAGAAGGATCTGAGAATATTGATATTAAAAAAGAGACACTGGTTCAAATAAAATAAAATTTACTGGATACTGGACAATTGGAATAATAAGTAATACAAAGATGAGTGACTTATGTAAAGAAATAAAGATGGAACTTTGAGCCATGAATGAAATGTGGGATAGAATGTTGGATTTATGTACAAAAATACAGAATACAGAGAAAAAAAATCTGGAAATGATGACGATCGAAGAAGAAGAAGAAGAAGAAGAAGAAGAAGAAGAAGAAGAAGAAGAAGAAGAAGA